TTTATTAGTCCAGTATATCTAAGTGTCATTCCAACACATGGTCAATATAAAATTATTGTTTTTTTAATTTTTATTTTTAAGTTTAAATTCAATTAATTTGTACAAAATGTATTATCAGTTTCAGAGGTGGAGGTCAGTGATTCGTCAGTTGTGTTTAACACCCAGTGCTCATCACACCACATCCTCTCCGTAATGTCCAAACCCCGGATACGCCACCCCCCACCCCCACCCCTCCAGGAACCATCGGTTTTTCCCTAGGATTAAGAGTCTCTTACGGTTTATCTCCCCGCACAAAAACCGTTAGTGAGACATTCTACTTTATTTTTGTTGTTGTTGTTCGTGGTCTTGGAAATCTGGTGTGGATTTTGTGCTGTGGGCACCTCTCCACAGGCGGGTGACAGCCGCATGTGGCTCGTGGCCCCGCACTGGACAGCAGGTCTGGGGCCAAGGGAGATAACTTCCAAATTCCAGCTGAGCAAATCCCTCTGGAGTCTGGCCTGTTGCTGCCCGAAGCCGTTACTCTGGCTTATGTCCTGGGGGCCTGAGGCAGCATGGGGTGGGGGCAGGGGCTGGACCCGGTGTCAGCGGTCACGTGGCCCTCTGTCTGCCCAGTGTGGTCAGGACTGGCACGAGGTTTGGCGAGAAGGCTTCCTCGAGGCTGCCTCCAGCCCATCTCCCCTGGGAGGCCCACCCAGATCAACCTAGAAAATGCGATCAGGGCCAGCATGGGTGGTGGCCTTCACAGGCACCCTTGGGGCTGTTGACCCAGGCTCCTGGATCTGGAAGGTCACATTCATAACCTGTACCCTGCACCTGCGGGCTCCCTCGAGCGGCCCCCGTCTGGGGACATGGAAGTTTCCCTGCGTCCTAGGAGGCTGGTTGGCTGTCTGGGGGGGGCGCTGGAGCTTGAGTTTCTTCTCCAGGCGCTGGTCAGGGCGTTGGTTACGGGCAGGAAGCCGCCGATGTCAGTGGGCCTGGGCAGACGCCTCTCTGAGATGTCTAGGGGTGCCTCCTGGAGCAGCTCTGGGCCAGCTGGCCTCCCCTCCCAGCGTCTGCTTATCATTTAAGTGGATGCTGTTTGCTGGCAGCTGGGGGTAATTACAGGCTGCGTCCTTGAGGACAGTCTGCGCATGTGTCTCTCCGGGGGCGGGTGGCCCAGCAGGGGCAGCCTCTCGCTGAGATGGGAAGCGCTGGGACTCTCGGCAGCCAGATGCCTGGGATGAAAACGCAGACATCTCCCATCATGGGGCCACGGGACCAGGCCATCTGTGGGCAGTCCTGGTGGGGCTGACCTCCCCGGCCATGAACTCTGCCCTCAGGATGTCTCATCCTGGGGTCCCTGTTCTTGTCCTCTTCCCTCTTGCTTTGTTGTCTTTCCCATCCTCCCTCCGCCGCCTCCCAGCTTTCCCGTCCTCCCCCCTTCCTGGGACTCCCCAGGCTGCTCCTGTGCTCCTCACTCCGGGGCTCCCATTCCATGGCTGGCTTGCCCCAGTCCTGGCTTGAGTCCTGCCTCCCCCCACTCACGTCCCCCCGGGATTGCAGGAAAGGACCTTGTTTGGACATTGGGTCTCTGCAGATGGAATCGGGTGAAGAGGAGGGTGTTGGGGGGCCCTCGGTGCCCGGTGACGGGTGTCCTTACGAGAACAAGGATTTGGAAGCAGAAACACGGTGCAGGGAAGATGCACCTGGAATTTGGGAGCTCGAAGACCACCAGCGGCCAGCGATGCTGGAAGAGACAGAGGAGGGTTCTCCTCGGGAGCCTTCTGGGGGAGCACGGCCCTGCCTGCACACTGATTTCCGGCTTCTGGGCCCAGAACCGTGAGACGGGCAGTTTCTGCTCTGTCCCTACCTTTCACTCTGGTGTTATGGCCGCCCCAGGACACTCATCCAAGATCCCTTCGCTGGGTTGGGCCCCAGCACGATAGGAAGAGCACCCAGCTAGCTCCATGCTGGGACACCCTCAAACCTCAGCGGGCCGCCCCTGAGCCCCGATTCTGTCTGCAGAAGCCCCCAGCTCGCACACACTTTCGGGGATCACGGTCCTCAAGATTCCAAGATTTCTTTGAGCTCACCTGATGCCGATCGCAGCTAAGCCGTGACCCCATGCTTGATCAGCGGTGCCTCCCTCCCCGCTGGAGTCTGGGGAGAGACTGCTGGGCAGCGGAGGCCAGGGTGGGCCCGAACGGGCTGACGAGAGCAGGTCACCGCCACAGGACAGACTGAATCTGTCCCCGCCCCCAGTCGGGTGTGGTCAGAGGTCACAGGCTCTGGGAGCCACAGTGGCGGCGGGGGTGACGCCGGCCGAGCAGGGAGGCCAGCAGAGGGCACGTGGTCTTGTGCAGGTGGAGCCAAGGCAGGCAGAGCAGGGGAAAGGCTGACCGGCAGGTGCTTGGGAACCATCTGGGTCAGAGTCTTGGCCCCGTCTGGATGGGGTGTGGGAAGTGGGGTGGGGGTGGGGTGGGGTCCTGAAATGGATGGGATGTGGCCCTGGGGCAGTGAGAAACGGGAGAACAGGAAGCTCTCAGGCATCGTGTTGCTGCTGTCCACTGTTGTTTGTTCCAGAACATGCTAAAGCTATAGACCGGGGCAAAGTGCAAAAAGCAGAAAGAGGAAGACGAGACAGGGGTCCAGAGGGACAAGTGAGGGAGGGCAGCCAGATCAGAGAGGGAGCAGAGGCCACCGTGAAAGGCCAATGTAAGGAGAACAAGGAGGCTCGTGGGTCCCAGAGGGGAGCTGAGGAGGGCCCTGGGGGCCAGCAGGGAACCTGGAAAGAGCAGTGTCAGCAGCAGCGGCCAGCAGACAGGTGGTTACAGGACGGGACGCACACACACATGTGCACGCACACGCACGCACACATATACACACCTGCACAGATGTATGCATATGTGCACACGCACATGCGTACAGACACGCATATACATGCACACACATATACACACACCTGCACGAATGTATGCACACGTGTGCACAAAATAATGCACACACACACGCACACATGCACGCACCCACACACACACACCTGCACGAATGTATGCACACACGCACACACACGTAGTGCACACGCGCACACATGTACATGCACACCTGCACGAAAGTATGCACACACGCACACACATGCATGTATACACTCATATACATGCACACACGCACACACACACACATGCACACACAAGCACACGGGCAGCAGGCAGTGACCATGTCAGGACAGGCTGTCAATAAGGTGAGCGGAGGGCTGCAGCTGGAGGGGCCACGGGGGTCAAGGGTGTGTGTGTTATTTCATGACAGGAGGGGCAGGAGCGGGAGTTGGAATAGAGGAATTACAGAACGGGGTGGAGGGTGCTGGGAGCTCGGATAGGGGGGTCCACTTTGGAAAAGAGGAGGGTGGCCAGTCCAGAGACAGGTGGGAAGGAGAGAGATGGGCAAGATGGTCTGGATCACCAGGAGGAACACCAGGGTATGGGGGAGGCGTCCATTCTGGTCATGGCTTTTCCAGAAATGCTGGAGACCAGGTCATCTGCAAGATGTTTGCGGGGGACAGGGCTATGCTTGGGTCACCGGGAGGTTAGGGGGAGAATGGCTGCCCAGCAGGGAAGCTGGGCAGCATTAGCATCTATAAGATCTACGCTGTCCCCCCACAAAGACCTGAGACCTACGAGGGGCTGAGTCTGTCTGGGTCAGGCTGAGGTACACCTGCTCCTGCTACCCTCTCCTCGCCCAGGCTGTGGACAGATCGGAGCTGAGCAGACTGGCACTGTCTATAAGCGTGCAAGTTTGCACACGTGCATCTTCTATGTGCGTGTGCATTTGCACAAAGAGGTACCTGGAGAGATGGTCACCCCCTTGTCACCAACTCTGGGCAGTAGTGTCTGGTGATTTTTATTTTTCTCTTTTGAGCTTTTTTGGGGGAGGGACAGGGGGAGAGAACCTCCAGCAGACTTTGAGCTAAGCATAGAGCCCATTGCGGGGCTCGATCTCATGACCCTGAGATCATGACCTGAGCCGAAACGAAGAGTTGGACGTTTAACAGAACTAGCCACCCAGGTGCCCCTAAGATTTTGTTCTGGAGTAACCTCTATGCCCAACGTGAGGCTGGAAATCAGCACCCCAAGACAGAGTCACACGCTCTTCCGACTGAGCCAGCCGGGCGCCCTTCTCTTCTGAGCTTTTAAATTTAGTGTAAAACCACCATGCACTGTTTTTTCCAAACACAATAAATCAGTTAAAAAACCCTCCTCCACAGTGTCTGCTGTTTGGATGGAGCTGGAAGGGAGAGCCTCTTGCTGCTGCTGACGATCTCAGGTCCTATTGGAGGGCCTGCCTCTTTGAGCCTCCTGGGTCCCAGGGTGCAGGTGAACTTGGGGGGCCAGGCAGTCAGCATTGCCCCCAATGCAACACCGGCTGAAACCATCCCCTCTCTGAGAAAACAGATGTCCCCTGTGGGAACACCATGTCCTTCCCATCACCTGCAGCCCTCCTCGCTCATGGCCTCACGCCCATTCCTTCCCGCCCGCCCCTCGCACGGACTCTGTCCTTGGCCTCTGGTCCCCGCTGCCTCTGCAGTCCACCCCCGCCCACAAGCTGACACTGGGGCAGTCACCTCCAGTGAACCGCGACCCTCTCTAGCTGACCGCCCCGGCTCTTCCGCTTCCTCCGGGGGCAGATTTGATTAGCCTGGGGTGGGGTCCAGGCTCTGAGATTGGACGAGAGCCCCTCAGGTGACCCTCACGTGCAGCCTGGGCAGAGGTCCTCCAAGCTCATGGTCTCCCAGAAACTCCAACCGCCCCTGCGCTGAATCAATGACTGCTGGTGGGTGTGTGCAGGAGGCCCCGAGGCCCACCGTCTGCCCGTTCCCGGGCCGACAGTCCCACCCAGAACCTGGCAGAGTTCCTGAGAACGGAACCGTGGCAGATGCATCCCCGTGGCCTGGCTGGACTCTGAGTGGCTTGCCCAGCCTTCTGGAACCTGTCAGGTCATGGAAGCAGAAGGCCGTCCACACTGACTGCCCAGGGCAGGGGTGATGGGGGCAGCCACGGGCTCCCTCATTCTGGGCCTTTTCGGGGCACCTGAATGATTTCCCTCGTCCTCTCCAGAGCCGTAGATGGAGCAAGTGACACTCGCTGAGGAGGAGAGGAAGACAGTCTAGACTGATGCTGGCCCCCCGCCCCCAGCCAGTGGAGCCCCCCAACCCCGACGGACGTATCCTAGACTGGCGGTGGCCCGTCCTCCCACTGACATCCTCGATACCGCCCCCTTTCCCCAACCCACTGCGCGGGGCGCGCTGCCAGACCTCCCTGCCGCTCAGGGGCAGCCCGTCAGGTGCGATCCTCGGGGTCTGGAGCTGGGGCGCCATGCGGGGGCCGCGCTGCTGCTCTGTCCCCGGGGCAGGCCCAGGGTGCGCACACGGGGCACCTTCTGGGGGCGGGCCGCGGGCTGAGGCTGGTGAGAGGCCTGGCGAGGGTCGGCTGTTTGGCGGCCGGTGCAAATCCAGCCGGGTTGGGCGGGCACGGGGCTTGGGGAGCCGTGGATTGTTGCTTCAGGTCACTTGGTCTCCTGCTTCCACACGGGGCGGGCCGGCTCGGTCGTGTCTTGGGAACCGTGCGGGAGCCAAGGTCTGGCCTGCTTTTCTGGCCCTCACGCCTTGCTTCATTCTCTGCCAAAAGCAGCCAGAGGGGCTTCTGTCCTCTGCATGGGAACCTTGAGCGACACACCTTTTAGCCCGGGTCACCTCCAGTCCCACGTCCTGGGACCCTTACTCAAGCTCATTCGGCCGGGACCCCCAGCTCCAAGGGACAGGTCTGCATTCCCCCATGGTAGTGGGATCGGGCGGGATGCATAAAAAAAGGTAGACCCCGAGTAGGGATCTAGAAACCTCAGTATGTCCACTCACCGGCGAAGGTGACATAACCCGGCAGCGCAGAGAACTGGAGTGAGGAGAGCCATGGCCGTGCCGAGGGACCACGGGAGTCAGGACGGACGGCGCCTTGCTGCATCCACGTTCACCCATTTTCCTCCCGGGAGGCCGACAGTGCTCCTCGGACTTCACACACCCTTTACCGTGCAGCTCGCAGAAGCAGGGGAGGGAGACACAGACGTGAGGATGGCCGTTGGGGGCGGCCGTGCAGAAGGCAGTACTGACGGGCGAGGAGCGAGGGAGGTTAGGAAACCGTGCAAACAAAATGTGAGGCTCTGAAATGTGGCGGGAGGAGGGGGGAGGGTCTGGGTGGGGGAGCACAGAGTGACCCCCCCATCACCCGGGGCCCCGAGGTCACCAGCACCAGGGCCCCACCCTGATGGGCTGTGGATGCCCACAGCTCAGACTCCCCAGAGACGGGGTCAAGCACGCTGGCGGCCTGGGCTGGGGGGGCACCTGCGGCTTTAGAAGGCTGTTTGAGATGCGTCAGGACGAGAGGGTGACATGTGAAGGTTCTCCCTTCTTTTATCCGGCACCCCTAACAATGCAGCGGCGACTGAAAAGCAGTTTCCACGTGAGTGATTGTTTTAAAAATAGTTTTTAAATCAAGTGAGACGTGTTCCCTGAAAAAAGGTTAGGAAAAAATTTGTTTAACGTTGGAACATTTTTTAAAAGTGAAAGAAAGAAAGAAAAATTGCCTCTAAGCTGGGGTCCAGGGGGAGTCACCGCGGATCTATTGGAGCTCTCCTGCCACCCGCCCCCCCCCCCCCCCCCGGCCCCCCACGGGGCTGCCCATCCCCTGGGTCCATCTCAGGCTCTGCCAGGACCGCGTCTGGGCTGCTGTCCCTCTCTATGTGAATATACATTAAAATTTAAAAACAAGTAATGATGACAGTGTATTTATAGATCTGTATCCTGCTTTTCTCTTAACTTTCTCATCTTGCCTCTTCCCATCAGCGGATTGAAGAAACCAAAACCAAACCCCGTGTTACTGGATATCCTTCAATTAAGATCGCCAGATTTTGCAGATAAAAATACAGAACACCCAGTTTAATTTGAGTTTCAGATAAACAGTGACATGCAAATTTGGGACATAGTTATAACTAAAAAATGATTCGTTATGTATCTGACATTCAAACTTAACTGTGTCCCATATTCCGTCTGGCAACCCTACCTTCTGGGTGCGGAGTGGCTTTGGACACTGGGGGTTCAGGCATCCTGGAGGGACTGGTCTGCTCGCACCTGGAGGGACTTAAGAGACTGGTCTGTATACACCTGCAGGGACTGGTCTGCTCACATCTGGAGGGACTGGTCTGCTCACACCTGGGGGTCTCGTCTGCTCACACAGGGGGACGGAGTCTGCTCACACCTGGGGGACAGAGTCTGCTCACACCTGCAGGACGGAGTCTGCTCACACCTGGGGGGCTGGTCTGCTCACACCTGGCAGAAGGAGTCAGCTTGGATCATGCCCGACACCAGGTGATACTTTGCTTTGGCCGTGTGCCCAACAACTGGCCAGGTAGCAGGTCAGGTTCATTTACCCTCCACAAGAGCTGCAGAGCCCATTTTGCTGAACAGGAAGTAATTGTCCAAGGAAGTGATTGGGCTAAGCGACTGCCCAGGACCTCCTAGCCGGGAAGAAGGTTTGGGTCCAGGTCTGCCCTCCTTGGCTCTGCTTGGCTTGGGCTGAAGAAGCTTAGAGGTGGCTAAGCCAGGTGGCCAGGGACTGGAGCGGCCCGGACAAGGCTTCAGGGAGCAGATGCCCCCTCCCCGGGGACCCTCCTCCCCTGAAGGGTGGGCTTGGGCCTCTGAACTGGGGGGAGGCCTCTGGTAACCTCCCGGAACCCGAACAGCCAGACGGAAGCCACGGGCTGCTCAGGCTGTAGGACTTCCAAACTTCGGGCTACAGTCTCCTCTGAGCCCTCAAGGGCTTCTTTAAATGCAGGTAAAGCTCCGACTCCTGGTGGGAGACGTGAGGCGCCAGGAATGGAAGGTTAAGTATTGGCTTCTGGAAGGGGATGGGGCTCTGGCCCCGGCCTGTCACCCCGCTCTCCGGGGCCCTGCAGCCCTCACCCTGCGGCCCACCAAGCAGACCCCCACCCCGGTGTTCGCTCTCCCCCTGCTCTCTGGTCCTCAGCGACGTCCTTAAACCCAGATGCACCTGGGGATCGCGCGCAGGAAGCGGGTACAGCGTGGGCTGGGAAGGCCTGGGGGTCCGCATTGGAAGCATTTGGGAGGTTCCGAGGTGGACCAGAGTCTCCCCAAAGCCCTTGTCCCCGAGACCCCATGGCGAGCAAACCCGGACGGGGACTGAGAAAAGGAAGGGGGTGACCTCCCTACCGCCACTCACCTGCCCATCCCCCTCCTTCCCACCCCCTTTCTCCCACCGGTCCCACCTGGGGGCGGCGCCTATCTCCCCGGCCAAGGGCAGCAGAGACCCTTGTGTTCCTGGTGCAGCTGGCGGACGTGCCCAGGGAAGGGGAGGCTGAGGCCAGCGTGTCTCAGTCAGCCCACCTGCTGTACGGGAGGCAGGCCAGAGGCTAGGAGTGTAGTTCCGAGGAAGGAACCCGGGTAGTGGGCTTCAGCGGCCCCAGACCCTGGCCGTGTCCACAGGCCATCTGCGGGGACCAAGAGTCTGGGGTGGGAGATGGGAGGAAGAGGACTCCTGCTGGCCTCTGCCTGTCCCTGCCTTTTTGGCCTTTGTCCCATTTAGTGCTGTGAGGTCACTGTTATCGGCCCATTTCACAGAGCAGAAAGCAGGCCTGGGGGTGTAAGTTTTCAGACATGGGACCCCACCTGCCATTCCGCAGGAATCTGGCTGGCTGCCTCTGGTGCCTGGTGTTCTGGTGAAAATGGAGATGAGAGACTCTTCCTCCTGGAGGAGCCTTCCTGACTGGGTCTGGCACGGGTCTGAAGTACATAGTTTTACAGCTCCCCACATATGGGGCCTCCCGTGATCTTTGCCCATGACACACAAGCGGGAAAAACCTGACGGCGGCAGGATTTGAACTGAGGGCCATTGGCCCCCCAGCTCTGCCTTAGCAGGTGCCTCCAGGGCAGGGATGTGGACAGCTCCGGGCAGGGCGGGCTGAGGGAGGCAGGGAGGGCAGGAGGGCTCGTTGCTGGGTCCCTGCTGCTGCCCGACACTTGCCCTGGTCTCTCCCTACTCCTCAGGACGTCCCTGGCAGGCAGGTGCCATGGCTCCCCATTCACAGATGAGCACGCGGAGGCCTGGGCACACTGGGTAACTTGGGGTGGCCCAGGTGGCCATGACCCCGGAGCCTGGAGCGGGGTCCTCCCGGGCCAGCCCAGAATCACGGGGAGCTTTCAAATCATACCATGACCAGGGGCCGCCCAGACCTTTTGCATCAGAATCCGGCGGGGGGCAGTTCGTACAGAATCGTCAGGGTGGCTGTGACGCAGTCAGGGCGGTGAACAGTGGTTCAGAGGAGTGAGAGAAGCAGTCCCGAGCAGGCCTGGAGGCAGGAGCCGGGCTAAAGGACCCCAGGTGGCCTCCTCGGCCCGGACTCCGCCGTTCTTGCTGGCCCAGGGCTGGGGAGTTCCGCACACTGGAAAGATAAGTCGGAAAACCGGGGGACCTCTGCCCTGAAGCCATCTGGGCCTTGGGTGCCGCCGATACTTTCTCCTTTCTCTTGGCAGACAGCCCTGCCCCCCACCTCCTGGCCCCGGTTGGGGATCCCCCAGTCGGCACCCCCAAGGGCCTGGATGCTGGGTTCTGCAGGCGCAGAGTGTGGGACACACAGTGCTGGTCCTCACCCAGTGTAGACACAGTCCCTAACAGAAACCTAGATCCCCCTGTGCTGCCTCCCGGGACAGGGTGTGGCTCCAGGACCACAACCTCCCTGCTGTACGTTCAACGGGGCCGTGCACCTTCCCCCATCCCCCACCCTGTTGTCAGCCTTCAACAGGCATAGGTAGTGAAGGCTCCCCCGGCCCCTGCCGGCCTCCTGGGTGCCTGGGCTCCTGGGCATGCTGGGGGAGGGCACAGGATGGCTTCCCCAGAGACGGCAGCCAGGCCTTGCTTCCTCCCCCCACCAGAGTACCTGCAGCCCGGTCCCCTGGCCGAGCCCACGTACGGTGGCCTCTGGGATCCTCTGCCCGGATTTGAGCTGAATCACGGGTGGAAGCCTCAGGCAGGAAGGACAGAAGGACGGACAAGGAGGGGAGGGAAGAGCTCGGGATGGGGAGTCGGGGGTGGGGACGTGGGGGTGGAGCGTGGAGCGGGAGAGGAGCACATGGATCGAGGAACTGAAACTCAGCCCAGTCCGGGGGGAGTTTGGTTTGGTTTTGTTCATTGTTTATTTTTTTAAATAACCTTTTTATGCTGAGATACTCATAGATTCACATGCCGTTGTCAGAAACAACAGCGATTCCAGGCACCCTCGACCCCGTGTTGCCCAATGGTGACGTGCATCGGAGCAGCCTACAAAACCACAGCGAGACACGGGTGTCGGGACGAGGCACCGATCCTACTGACGCTTCCCGGTCGGCTGTACTCGCATGTGTGTGCGCGGGGGCGAGCCTGTGTGCATGTGTTCCGTGTACAGGCCGCTGTCGCCCATGGGGGTCACGGATCCACCCCCACAGCCTGGACGTGGACCGGTTCCAGCACCGCAAGGACCTCCCGTGCCTCCACATCGCCTGCCTCCGACCCCCTCCACCAGGATCGCCGATCTGCTCACCGTTGTCTCAAGAAAGCTACGTCAATGTATGGATGGACCACAGTTGACCTACTTGTCGGCCGAAGGTCGTCTGAGTGTGCCCAGGGTTTGGCTGTTAGGACCGAGGTGGCCAGTGTGTGTGTGACCATAAGCTTCTGCGTCTGGACGAAGGCTGGAGGGAGCAGTGGCTGAGCCCCGTGGTGGTTGCATGTTCAGTTTTTTTTTTTTTTTTTTTTTTTTTAGTAATTTCTACACCCCACGTGGAGCTTGAACGCACGACCCTGAGATCACGAGTGGCAGGCTCCTCCAACCGAGCCAGCCGGGCAGACACCCCGCACGTCCCGTTTTGGAAGCAACTGCCAAACCGTTTCTCCGAGGATCGGCACCGTTCTCCGTT